AATCCTGTGTTGACCTTCTCTGCTTCTAATCTTCATGTTGTTTCTGAATTCAGCTGAGTCAGGTTGTGTAGATAAAACACATTTGTTCTTTAATATCAGTCAATTTGAATTAAATATTTATTTCTCCTGCAGGTTTAAAGGCAGTTAGAAAAAAAGAAGTTTGCAACAGTTGGTGATAGGATTTTCTTTATTTCTTTTTATTTTTTGCAAACTTCATTTTATCTTTATTGATTCTGAAGAAAGTATAATTTAGAAAAACTTAAGCCTCTACATCTCAAGTTTAATTAAAACATTTGAAATAAGGTGGACAGGTAGGTCATTGTATTATATCAGTCTATATAAAAATGCAACCTCACTTCCCTGAGAAAGATTATAAAGCAATTATGAAGAATGTGAAAGATGAAAAGAAAAACCCCCAAAGAAACGAGGAAAAGTTTAGTATGAAATAATTATTAAATATGGCTGTCATAGGAGAGTGGATTGTCAAGGAAATTTAATCAAGTCTGGTCTCTAAAAATGAGATCAGATTTTTTAACGTTAACATCGTCTACCCTAATCTGCCACAACTGACAGAATTGTTCAGTCCTGTGATTGAGACGGGCTGTTATTCTTTCCATTTCATATATTCAGATTTCAACTCAGTTTATTTCTATAGTGCTAATTCACAACACATGTCATCTTAAGGCACTTTACAGTTCACCAGATCATACAGTCAAATCTATTCAAAGTTTTCTATCTAAGGAAAACCAGTTGATTGCATCGACGCATTGACTCTTAAGTATACTTGTAGCGACAGTGGACAGGAAAAACTCTGTTTTAACCAGGCTCAGTGGCATATATATATATATCCATCATCTCAAGTTGGTTTATCTTGTTATGACCAAGTCATCAAATATTTATTAATTTTTGACATTTTTATCTCGAATTCATTCAGACATATTGTCATCATTAAATAACAGATAAAGGGAAACCGGCTAAGTGCCCTTAATGTCCTAATCATACATTTCTCAGACTATTTCTACCTTTATCGTTAGAATAGAAACTTCCTAAATTATCTCAACAGGAACCTTTTTAAATTGTAACAATTTCTCTAAACTGACTGAAAAATATTGTTGATTACATTTACTAACATTTGATAAAACCCTCTTCAAGCTTTAGCCCTTACATCTTTTTTTTCTTTTTATGAAAGGTGCTTTAATTCTTTGTCTAATTGTATTTTTTTAACTGTTTATTTTTTTCTACAGTTTATTTTAATAAGAAAAAAAGTTATTATAAAGTCCCGCTACATGTAAAGAGCTTTTTTTTTTTAAAAATTATGACAACAAAGGAGAATATATGTCATACTGTAGGTGACTCTTTTAATATTTAGATTAAATTAAAAACTGCAGATTGTATAGCATAAAGTTAAAATCTAGACTAGGATTAAGGATATAATGTTCAGATCTAATGTGAGGTTTGTTTCTCTTGGCAGATCAAGGATCAGGAAGTCGAGGCTCGTTTCTGTAAACTGGTGCAGCAGCTGCTGGACGACCACAAAGACGTGGTCACCATGCTGGCCCAGGGCTTCAAGGAGTGTCGCAGGCACATCCAGGCAAGAGCCAGACTCCTCAGATCTACCAAGCTTTCTGTCTCCTGGAGTTATTACTTTATTTAATTGACTGATTGTTTTTTTTTTATTATTTATGTTTCCATCTTCCAGGATGAGACCATCATCAGGAACTTCTTGGATACAACACTGTGCTCTCGTTTAGGAATCCGAATGTTGGCCACACACCATCTTGCTCTTCATGAAGATAATGTACGTCGGTCTGTTACAGAAAATCTGTCTTTGTTTTCCCCCCATCACACTAACGTGAGTCAGTAAGTGACTCATGCACCTTAGTTTAGTTTTGTCTTCAATTTAATGTTTTGTTTTCAATAACTCTTCAGTGCAATATTTATTTATTGATCATACTTCTTCAAAAACTCAGTGCAATATATATGTATATATATATATTTATATAGTCTTACCCTGTATATAGCTAGCTCTTACTCATAGAAAACATATTTATTGTGCAGGAATAAGGTCTTAGCTTATTCACCTTGTGTTTTTTTGTGCAATGACAATAATGGAGGTCTAAGTCTAAGGACGGGTAAGGACGTCTTCCAGAGCAGTAGAGATGAGATAGAAACCAGTTTTTGGTCTCCAAATAGGAATAAAGACCACAAAGCATGAAGCCTGAAGGGAACTTTGGTTTAGATTTGGAATTGACAGTTTGAAAACACTTGCTTTGCATTACATTGGTTTTAAAATTATGCTGTTGATCTATAAACGCTTTAAATTGTCCTGAATACATGAGAAGTCTTCAGAGCTTTGGAGCAAAACCTGAGATTAGTAAAACCTACCTGGTTCCTGTAAAGTACGACGTAAACATGCAGAGGTTTTATTCTTTAATCTCTTTAATTTCCTTTCATATTTTCCCTAAGCATTTTAAATTATGATTATCTGATTTCTGATCTTCATTTTGACTCACATCACCCGCTGGAACATAAACATAAACTGCCTGACAATATTCCCTTAATCACAAAACAAACAAAAACATGTTAGGGAATCACTTGAAGGATGTGGTTTTTCAAACTGGGCAGTACAGCTAGCAGGAAGAACACTGCATGCAACACAGAGGAGGAAAAAGACGCAAAATCCTAAAGGCAGAACACCCAAACTGAAGCTAAGTGGTGCTGTGTATGAGACCTAGTGCCAGCATTTCTGGGCAAGATTCAGTTGTACACTTGCACCTCAAAAGCAAAGGACAGGGAGGACAGATGGTTTGGAAGAGGTGTCAAGGAAGCTTGTAAGCATTTAAAATTCAGTCATTGAACTCCAAGCACTCCCATTATGATTTATTTAAATTCAGTTTATATATAGCACTGATTCACAACAAGGCACTTTACGGTTCACCAGATCATCCAGTTAGATTGATTCAAAGTTTTGCATGCTTGTAGTGACGGTAGAGAGGAAAAACTCCCTTTTAACGAGAAGAAACCTCCAGCAGAACCAGGCTCAGTGTGAGCGGCCATCTGCTGAGGCCGACTGGGGCTCAAGGAGACAGAAGCAGAGATTAAAAAGGCAGCTGTAAAAGGCGGCCCCGTCCAGGAAACACACAGCCAGGCAGATGAGCTCCGAGCCAGCTCCCAT